TCCTTCTCAGCTGGGATTCAGAATTCTATTTTGGCCATACTAGGTATCACTCATCAACCTAGACCCTGGAACGGGCTGCTTCTAATTGGATTGAAAAATCAATGCTAAAGATTCTTCATAGATTGAGCCTTGCGGCCACTCTTTATCAGTAATGGATGGAGAGAAACAACAGATGATTCAGAAATCTCTTTAGGGATTCTAATTCTATCTCCAAAGCTATTCAAATGGCCATTAGAAGCAAAATGGCATCCCTCAAGTTCAAGCTCTGTGATGTAAATAGGCAGCTTGTTCACGGTTGGGGACTGATGGATTGTCTTCAATAGCTCTTATTCCTCCTTCCTTGCCTTTCCATGCAGGATTCTTCTGGAAGTGTTTTCTTCTTTTTTTCAATTCCTTTTGAATGTTGCCTACCTTTCTCTGTTTTGAGGAGAAGCCTTTTGTCTCCTCTGTTTTCTATTGAGTCTGGACTTTTCTGTAAGTACCAGCACAAGGTTGGCACTTTCCTTAGAATCCCATACTCTTGGTATATTTGTTTTTTCTTTTTGGTTCTTCTTTTGTTATGGGAGTATGCATTCTGCCATGTAAGCATCTCCCTTGTTTTGTTCTTGTATTTTTCCTTTATGTATATAGTTTACCTTCCGAAAAAAACACGCACAATACTTTGTGATGATAAATAAAAATAATATTAGGAATGAGTATAAAGATATCTTCATAACTGACTTGTAGACAGAACCGTTGGACAAAGTTTGTCTTCAGACCCCTGTTGTGCATTGAGACTCAACAAAAAAGCGTCAAGGTCATCTAAGTACGACCTCAGATGCAGGTATTCAGATCGTCCGCATTACATCATGAGAATAATCATCATTTTCAACTCAAGTCAAGTGTTTGGATCGAGCTCCTTAATTCATAATTAGTTGTCTAAAAATATAAGAGGTCACCACAAGCAGAACAACCTCAGAACATGATCTTTCATAGATATGGAAGGCCATGAAGATATGTCACAATGCCACCTCAGCATGTTCTAAAATATCACATCATACCTAGAGAATGTAGCCTCTAAAGGCCAATATTCCCTTAATAAAATTTTAACAAACTTGGAGACCGTGTGATATTACGGGAGGGCCACCCCACCAATGTGTATAAATACAAGAGACATTCTCTCAAGAGGAACAACCAATTGTAACCTTTGCAATTGTGACTCTATCTTCTTCTCCAATTAATAGAAAACCTCCCAAGGAGTAAAAGACTTTATTGGAGTGAGTTAACCAAGCTCTTTAGCTGGTGAGTCACTATAATTTGTGTGTTCGTGCTTGTTTCGCATCTCTTACCTCTGTTATACATGTACTGTTGCATCTTACAGAACTATCAAGCTAAACTTCAGATCAATTTCTTCTACATTGTTCATTTACACATTATTGTTTCTCTAAGCCTTGAACTCCTCAGTTTAACCACACATATCACGTTTCAAGTTCATACATCATCTTGAATCTATATGATTAAGCAGGTAATCACCTAGAAAAATTAAGGTCTTCCTCATTAACTTGAAAAACCTCATCCTTGAGTTAATATAATTTGGAAGAATTAACTCTGAAGTAGCTCTTAAGCCACCTAGCTGGGGAATTGAAACCTAGGTTATCCCCATAGAGACTAGCTCACAACATTCTATCCTCTTTCTGCAATTTTTTTTTTTTAACAAAAATATCATAGTTTTAAACTCATAATAATTTACTATTTTTTCATGAAATCGTATTTTCAAAACACACTTTTTAGAAAAATATGGTTGGAAACACACTTTCAAAGTAAAAACCTTGAAAGAATATTTTTCAAATATACGTTTGCATCGAAAAGAAACACACATTTATTAAAAGTGCTAACTTAATAAATAAGTATGAAGCTACCATATGATAAATGGTTAAAAAACTACTCTACCAATACAAAATTCGGAGCAACCCACCATGAAATTAGCAACTGAACTAGAAGACTACAACAACATTATTTTTGTTCAGATATATTTGAGACAATTGTCTTAGATGACAACTTTTGAAACCTTGTTGATTTCCATATGGGGAAGGGGTATCCAACTTCAATGAATATTCAATGTAACAGTGATAGTCAAGTCAACATTATTATATGATATCACTAACCAATAATAAAATACCAAATGAGCAACGTGAATCTCACTTGGGTAGTTATTGAATTAAATAGAAGAAAAGTGAGTAGTAATTGACTTATATTGATAGATAGTTATTAGTTTGTGTGATGTCTATTTTCTTATTTGTTTACACATTATTAATTGGTGATACCACATGACAATGCTAACATAATATCACTGTTGTAATGAATATTTTCTCAACTTGGAGACCCTCCTTAGTTGCTTGCTGCAAGAAATCCAGGGCCATCTAATGAAGTCATTGCTTATTTTATTTATTTATTTTTTGCCGTGCATTGCTTATAACATAATTTAGTTGATTAAGTCAACCTCCATCTAGGGAGGAAGCGGATTTAGATGCTTTTAAAATCCACATTTCTTTGATTTTTTTAATAGTATATCACGCCGTGAATTCAAGTGGATTAACTTTATATAAGAGGGTTATACTTATATCCCAAGACGTGACAGACAATTACCATGGAGAGGAAGTGCGACAGAGAATTTTGAATTACTTGGACTTTAAAAGTTAACACTATTTGTTGATTTTATCAAATCACTGATGAGTCCCAACATTTATTCGGACCCATTACTTATTCAATGCTTATGATGAAAAGAGTCAACAAATAACGTCAACTTTTAGAATCTAAGTAGCACTTCCCCAAAAAAGAGAGAAAATGAAAGTGTTTTTTTTTTTTTTTGGGTAAGTAAGAGAAAATGAAAGTTGGCAAAGCCTAGAGAATGTTAAAATCCATTTGGTGGCATATACACTTCTGTTGAACCAAATCATATAACACCCCCCAACACAATTGCCGTTTAAAGGCAGCCGAGATTGCCACTAAAACCTTGATAAATGCATCATAACTGCATTTTGATGAAAATAAATTCTGAAACTTCCTGTAATGCTCCCTTAAATAACCAGTAGTCAACTTTACCCTTTGATTGACTAATTCTCAAATTTAAACTCTCGATGTATCGTTTAGACAGGTAAGTACTTGACTTGCCCTACTTGTCGTTTTGAGCAGCTTCATCTTGGACGAATTTCTGTCATTTTTGAAAGTTGTAATTCAGACGTGTGATACAGTTTGCAAGTTTGATGATAACTTAATATATATTAGGTTTGAACCATGTCACAAATACTTGCTGGAATCCATAATTTCAAATAACATCACATAACTATACATACCAACCTCTGTTTTGATTGATATTACAATTATGATGAAATTGAGCCAAGTATTCAAGACTTGATTTTTGAGGGGATTTGATACAAGTGTGTTTTTATTTTCAATTGAAACGTACGATGCACATGCAATATGATAATTATGTATCCACAGACTTACCCAAATCTTGAATCAAACATGCATTGATGCATATGAATGTGATAGAATAAGATGATAAATTAGTTATATTTGTCGACATAGATGGAACTAAATCAATTGTTTAATATCATCATATTTCTTACTTGAACCAAACAGCCAATAGTTCCTGAGTTTAGGTCTGTGGGAGCAAACCTTTTTTTTAAGAGATTTAGGGTTGCTCACATGCCATATTAATAATTGTGTAATATATATTTAATGAGTCAAAACTGTGGGTAACGTTTTTTTTTTTGTTTTTGACTCTCAAACAATGGGTAATTGAGACAAGGATCGGACAAGCACACAGTTTTGATACAAACCTCTTTTTTCTAAAAACTTTGATGAGCAACTTAACGATGGATAAGGATCCTTGCCATTCTCTATCCACTAATGTAATTCGGATCTAATTTTTTTAACATATTTTGCCTACTTAATGATGTGCTACCTGACAAAATATCGGTAGCATTATTATAATTATGTTGTTGGATATTTTCAAAGAAAGTATTAGTTGACACAATATTAGATTAGCAAATTAAATCAAATTTTTAAATGTCAAAAGTCTTATTCTTCGAATTATCACCTTTCTCATAGAGCTTAAACATGAGAAATGTTATTTGTACTTAAAATGTTAATATTATTGGTTGACTTGATCAATTACAACTATTGAATAATAAGTTTCAGTATATTCAGAGACTCACTGTTAAGTCAATGACAGTAATTGATTAAGTCAACAAATTAGGTAAACATTTTAAATACAAGTAACATCGCTCCTTAAAATTTGTGACCTATATCAAATTTATGGGCTGCGTAACATGGTAGGAGGTAAATATATTCTAGGAATAAGTGATAAGTTTATAACAATCATGGGTGGGTATGGCATGCCTAAAAAAATCATAGGGAGTTTCTGGTACAGGCAAATGCACAAGAGTTGACCACCTACTGATCCAAGCTAGCACACTTAAAAGATGGGGAAAAAACCTAGTGATCTCTCGCTCTCACAGTTGTCAGAACTTCCTAACCTAATGAGCCTCATCTTTTCTGTATTTTCAAACTTCAACCAATGCTTTCTAGATTTTCAACTCTCTCCTCCTCTCCCAAGTCTCAACTTATATGCATCTTCCTTATTTCAAACGCCATATCCTCATCTTTCCCATTTCCCCCACCATCATACTTCCCTAAGAACTCACTCACATACACTCTTCCTCCCCCCCGGGCGGCACACACAGTCATTGTCCTCGTCCTTTCTCTTTCCACAAAATTCAAACAAAGCCCTCTAGCTTGTCAACTCCTGTCGTTTTTTCTCTCAGTCTCTCTCTCATCTTTCCCATTTCCCCCTAACGTCCATATATCTTCCTGGCCTTGCCCTATACCCTCTCTCTCTCTATCCCCTCTCTTTCTCACACACACCCCCCACCCCATAGTACCATTTTCAACCCCACAAACTTCGATCTTTAGGGCAAATGAACAACACAATTGAGTCCACTAATGCCACCAATGATATGGGTGGTCAAAGCAGTGGTTCTTTAGGCTATGCCATTGGCATTTCCTTTGGGCTCCTCATAATGATAGCAATCATCGTTTATGGTTCCTTAATATGCAAACGATTGTGTGGCGACCCCTCCTCCGATAGAAGCTCCATAAACCCCACCACTGAGGATGACTCCATAACAATTCGACAAGGACTCGACGAAGACACCCTTCTCACGTACCCTGAACTTCTCTACTCCGATGCCAAGCTCCAGGAAGGCTCTATCGCTTCAGGTTGCTCCATATGCTTGGCTGACTATAAAGACACTGACATGCTTCGCCTGTTGCCTAACTGCAACCACTTCTTCCATCAGAAGTGCATTGACCCTTGGTTAAGGATTCACAGAACATGTCCAATTTGTCGAATGTCACCAATGTGAACGTCTCTAGTGGAGGTCGTCCCCTCAGCAGCACTACAAAACTAATCTAATGGATTGTGTTGATAAAAGGGTATGGACTCTAACTTGCAAATCCAAGTATTTTCTTGGACTTGATTTTATCAATTTGGATGATTTTTCTATTGATGGTGAGAATCTTGATTGGTAATTGAGCCAAAAGGAAACCTTATGTGCAAGCACGCTCGTGATTAGACACATGCATCGAGCAAGTTTGAAGAAATGGTGTGGGATTGCCCTTAAGATTGGGAATTACTGTCAAGTTTGATCATTCTTAGTTAAATTCATTGGGCTCCGTAAGGTTTCTGAGGTCCAAGACGAATTGCACAGAAATGATAGAATTTTTCCAAAACTTATAAATTGTAAAATTTAGGGGCTCCATATTTCTTTGCTTTACTGTATATATGCAAGAAAATATGTATTTCTCCATTTGATTCCTTGTATTATCGATACTACATTTTGACGTGAAAGATAATTTTTTGCTGTTCCCATTTGACTTTTATCTGAAGATTGTTCTTTTGCATGAATTGATGGTAGGGTCTAGGATCGACATTGCCTTGATGATTTGGGACATGTTGAGAGACTATTGCATGACTAGGAGACCGAAGGGGAACATGCCCTTTGGTAGTATAATTACCAAGCCCTACTAAGTAGCTGGGGTGAAGAAGCTGGCATCTGAAACCCTTCAACCTCCTGATCTAGACCATATTAGTAGTGTAGGAGAGAGGAAGAGCTCTACGATGTCTAAGGCTAGTGGCTCTAAGTATATGAGCAAGACCACTCATTCTACTATTGCTGATGCTACTGAGATTGCCCCTACCTCTCGAGCTACTGTGCACTAGAGAGTTAGCAAGTTGGAGGAGAGTTTAAGTGGTATTAGGAGTAAGGTGAGAGTTGCTAGGAATTCTCAAGAAAGGATAGAGTCGAAGGTAGAAATTTGTATGGGGATTCTAAAGAGGCTATTTAATGGTGCTTTTCCAGGGGAAACTCCAACACTTGCTTCTACTCCTACTACTGATACTAGACCCGAATCTGCTCCTATTGCTACTACACCTCTCAATGCGGCCATGGTGAGTAGTAGTCAGTAGGACACTTTAGATGATGAGGAGGGGGGATTGTTCAGATTCTTAGTGATTGACTTTTAGGACCTACTTCCCTACTTTTTATGTTTTCTTTTGATTTTTACTTTCTAGTTATATATAGGTTTTAGAAGAACATTAGATAGTTTCTTTTGGGTAGTAATAGCCTAGTAGAAGAACCTTAGTTAGTAGGTTATTACATTTTATTCTTTTTGTATCACAAAACACAACACAGATATATAAATCAAGTCTATTTGATTCCAGATGTGTGCCACAATTTCCTTTGAGATATGCATTTCGATTTACGATACTTGTTATATTATGGATTATATTTTGGAATTTATTGTGCAATGTTAGGATTTTAATGTTTGTTCCTCTTTGGTTTGCTAAGGGACTAGCAAAGCCTATGTTCAGGGATGGGTCCCATTTCATTCATTTTAGCTATGTTAGTTACCTATTTTCTCTTTTAGTTTAGTTTTGTATGTTATGGAGATTATTCATATTTGTAGGTGAATTAGTGTAAAATCAAAGTTTTGTGCACATTTTTAAAGTTGTGGAGGACTTGGAGGTTGATTTAAGAGATTTAGGAGTCAAGCCAAGGGCATTGACGAGAAGGCCAGTGCTACCAATAGTTCTTCTACCGGGTCAACAACATGCATAATTACAGTCTACTAGCAGAGTTCATTCCTACCGGTAGAAGTGAAACAAAAACCTTGGTTACCAGTAGCTTGATATTGTCCTACCGGTAGTTCTTAAACATAAGGTTGTTCTACCAGTTGATGTATGAAACAAAGTACCGGTATGTCATTTTTGTGCTCTCTACCGATAGGGTAGTGTATTTTTACTACGAGGACTTTTTTGGAAATCTGATCTGTTGGGATTTAAAAGGGCCGTGATTGGTTGGTTAGAAGAGAGGTTTTTTAGAGGATGTTGTCCTATAAATACCCAAACCTAGACAGAGAGAAAGGGACCAAATTTCATCGTTCAGTTCACCATTCTTTCTTTCTTCTTCTCCTAGGGTTAGAACTAGGGTTTTTTCTTTCCAAGAGTTCTTCCATTATTTTCATTTCCAAAATTTGTTCTACATTTAGTATTTAAATTCTTACAAGGCTAGTTTTAATTCTTTATTGTGAATGATTTACATTCTTTGCAATTTAATTAAAGGTAATTTCTTTTACTTGCAATTTCAATTTAAAGTTTTATTTGCTTTTAATTACAATCATGCTTTCTTCAATTACTTTCGTTTTCAGTTTCATTAAGAGTGAGTAGTCGTATTCCAGTTTAAACGGATAAGGGATTCTTATCCAAGAATGGGGATTTTGACTCAATTAGGGTTTTTCTAGAGATTAAGTATTTGGTTGTTTGAATGATTAATGTTGAAAATACATTTGATATGTATATCTTATTACTTACCCGTAGACAGTTAAGTCTGGCAAGAGTAATTCTTGTAATCACTACAATTGAAGTGAATGTAATCTTTTCAAAATTAGGCCAACCAGCTTAAATACACATTTGTTGTTTTTCATTTGAGTGTTAATATAATATTTCCCACTTGAGTGTGAGTATGATTTCTAGTTATTTATCAAATTGGGTCAAAGTATCTGTTTACAGTGAGATAAAATTCACTGATTACTCGGTCCTTTCTTTAATTGTTATTTCTTAGTTGATAAATTCTACAACCAATTTTCCAAACCTTTAGATTTTTTACTTTTCTTTGCTTATCACCTTTTCGAACCACTCATTTTCCTTGAGGATTAGACCTCGCTAATCGACCGAGTTATAAAAATGATACATTCTTATGCTTGGAAAACCTTTTATATTTTTACACTCTTGAGATACAAGCATGTGACATCATGAGCCGCCAGCTGGAGATGGTTCAGTGGACATCCACGAATCTCGAGGGATAGGGCCATGATCAAAGTAATGGCTAGAAAAGATGGGTCGACGGTTGAATGACATCTTTATAAATAGCAAAGTCTAGGCCACTGAAAAAGGATCCACAATCAAATACACAAACTTTTCATAGAGCCAGCCTATCTTATACTTATTCCTTGCTTTTGAGTAATTTTACTTTTCTTGTAATCATCACTCTAGTGTTCTTTTACTGCTTTCATTTAATGCTAAGTTCAGTATTCGTTTCATCTTCTAGATTCAAATTTGATTTATTTGCCACTTTGCATTCTCATTGTTCTCTCTACGATGTAGTCCATTTCTCTTTTGTTTAAAAAAATTATTTAAAGTCTTTGAACCATAAGGCATAAAACAGAACTTAGAGGTAGGTTTACACCTCGTTACAATTACCTAAACAGTCACGATTTTAGAACCTTTGTCGGTTTGAGTAGTTAAGGTCATATGTCTTTGAATTTTATCTCCAATCGGACTTTGGCACGCCCAATGAGATCCTAAGAAGCAGCATGGCGAATACCCGAGGGAAAGCCAAAGTTGGCGCATCATAAATGCCTCTAGTGCACAAAGTTGTTGAAGAAAATAGACGTGACATCCCCAACCTATAGGAAGAATTGTCTCCACTCATGGGCAAGAGAACAAAGAATCTAACTCAAAGTTGGAAGGCTCAATTAAGGCTTTATGGCATGAAGTCTCTCAGCAGGTCTCCGAGTTTATTCAAGGCCTAGGGGACTTGATCAGAGAGGAGTTTGTTTGCACTAGACAAGCATTAGAGTGGCTAGTTGATAGTTCGAGCCATTCAAGAGGCGTGAAACAATCATTGTTTCCCCCCACATAGGCAGTTCCAGTGGAAGCACCACAACAAGTGCTTCCCTTATATGTGTCACCTCAAAGGGTGCAATAGGCCAGGAATGGCCACGGGTGAAACAAGGAACCTCTTTTTTTCAGGAGGCAGTGGTCTCTAATCTCGAGGTTGGGGGGCAAAAAAGGTAGTCATCGATCATTTTTTTGATGTCACCTCAAGTAATTATGAATAGATACCAACTTAACGAGATCATTCAAGAACATGTTGGCCCCGCCATGAGGAGGGTAACTAGGTTGACATATTAAAAACCATATCTCGACTGGGTGGATAGGGATTATGAGTATTCTTGGGGATATAAGTTCCCTATGTTCCCCATGTTCTTGGGAGAAGATAGTCGATCGACTATGGGGCACATTGACTAAGTCATCTTACAGTACAGCAAGGCCGGGGCTAATGAGTTTTTGAAACTAAGGTTGTTCAGTAATTCCCTTACGGGGATAGTTTTCAGGTGGTACATTGATCTGTTGCCCAATTTTGTGCGGGGCTGGCAATAGTTTGAAGGAAAATTTCATCCTCAATTCTACCACACTCAGTCAGAAGTAGTCATGGCCGATTTGGCTAGGTTGTACCAGATGACTGGGGAGATGGCGGAATAATACATTACACATATCAAGAAGGCTAGGAACGGTGTAGGTTAGCATTGTCTGATATGGAATATGTGCGCATTGTGGAAAATAGTCTAGGTTTTGAGCTCTAGAATAAGTTCGAGGGAATGAAGTTCAATAATCTATTCGAGCTGACAACGCGGGCTACGCATTATGAACTATTCCTGTGTGAGGAGTTGGACCAAAGAAATGCGTTCAAAGGAACAAATTACAGGGATCCCAACATTGAAATATTCATGGTTAAGCTTGATCAGGAATTGGAGGTAAATGTGGTGGAGATTGTGGCGAGACAACCCCATGTGTGCAAAGCCTTGACCAGACCTCTAGGAAGTCAAGCATAGGTCACGCTAAGTGCTAAAAAGTGATTGGTGAAGGAAACAACCAAAAATATGAATTTGGCATTGCAAATGCCGATCAAATCTTTGATCATCTATTAGTTGACAACATTATCAAGCTATCGTTCGGTCATAAGATTCCATTGGCCGCAAAGTTGAAGAACAAGATGTACTACAAATAACACAATTTGTGGAG